CCATTCCAAACAGTTGAAACAACAAAGATAAACAGATCGATCATTTAGTTACTATACTCTTCACCTCTTTCACAGCCTAACAAAGGGATGATTCGTGAGTGAATGGCTAGACCACCTCTTGTGTACGTCTCTCTCCAAGCATCTGCTCAAAAAATCTATTGCTTCTTTAGACAACCAACCCGGTATACGAGGAAGGCAATCACTGTGACCGATGAGATCGACCCAATCATCGAAACCAAGATCACCATGTTCTCCCCAAATCAATTCTCCGGTTAACATCTCCAAAACCGTACACCCAAAAGCCCACACATCTGTTCCAAAGTCCACAATCCCATGGCTCATAGTCTCTGGAGCCACATACCTCGCAGTGCCTCTCCTATGACCGGTTCCGTCACCGTACTCTATCGACCCTTTCTCCATAGCTAAACCGAAATCTCCAATCTTGGTCAAATTACCCATTAGCTCTTAACCGGTGATCGGTAGGGCAGAGAAAGAGATTCTCCGGTTTAATGTCGCAATGGATGATGTTTTGATCGTGGATGTATCTGAGTCTAGAAGCTCGTGAAAGCTCTGCACTTTTGATCGCTCTCTCTGTTTTGTCTTTGTCGTTTACACTTGTAGCTAGATAAACAGAACCGTAAGTGCCTCTTCCAAGTAATTGAGTTTTGACCCACGACGACAAATTTCTTACTCCTCCGTCGTTGGTTAAGGCGGCGGCGGCGGAAGATTTGAGAACGGCGGTTGAAGATTCTTTGGTTATCTCTACGATACTCTTCTTCTTTTTCTCCTTGTTCATGTTTTTAAAAGGCGGTCGAGTAAATCTCGGATTTTTCTTAGCCATCTTCTTTCGTAGATGGAGAATGATTTTGTTGTACAATTTCTTGTTGGTGATCTCGAGGCCGTTGCAAGAGACAACGACCGGGCTTGAGAATCGATTTTGATCAAAAGACATAGATCTCTCCATCTTTCGCACCTCTTACTCTGAGAGTTTCTGCGATACTAAAACGATAAGAAGGAGAAAGAAGGAAGCGAGAGACTATCTATTGACTTGGGAGTCAAGTTTTTCCTTTTATGCTTGTGTGTGTGTGTTTTTGTTTCAATTAGGGCAAAACCTAATTAAATAAGAGGTTCGGTGATATACGTTTCAATCATTGATTTAGACGCGTCTGGTAAAAGGTTTTCCAGTTTTTCAACTTTTTTTGTTCTGTACTAAAATAAAAAATACATGCATGTGTTTTTATTTTATATTTTGGTTGAACTAGGTAATTAGCCCGCACCTTGTGCGGGCACAAGAGTTTCATAAAATAATTACATCATTAAATTATTTAACTTTGTTAAAACAAATCTTCCAAAATATAAGAACAATGTTAGACATTCGACCATTGCCATTTACTCGTATATTTATAATTACAGAAGGTTTTTTCTGACTATTTTTTTTATTTCTTCCTCAACAAAACTCTTTCTATTTTTTCGTAAATGTGTGTCATTCTAATCGGTTATTCACGCGTTTCCTCTCTC